ATAGCTGAAGAACCTAATGATTTAAATAGACACTCATTAATACTATTGTATCTCTGAATGCAACTTTCTCAATGTTTGAGGACATGGCAAGATAAATATTTGTCTCCAAAAATAGGAGACTATTTGTACAAACTTAAAGCTAGAAATATGTCCTCGGCTGTGAATTTTCTTCCTCTTAAATTTTAACACTTCTTAGAACATTTAATACTCTGTTACAATTTGTTCCTTAAATTATTGCATTATTTATGAATTCTTCTTATCCTATCTTCTTGAATAAAATTTTGAAAGCGTCATGCATTCCTTGGGTGTCAAAAGTCCTCTCAAGTCAAAACTCCTGCGCCTTGTTCGTGCATTTTGCAGCAATTTGCAGGTACCCCCAAGACACCTATTCATATAATAACATGTTGAAATATCTTGATTATATATTATAATTGCTGCAATTATTATAAAAAAAAATACCTTTGCGGGAACTGGTATTGGAATAGCTGAATATTTTAACCCGCACTTGACACTTATTTGGGTACTATAAAAACACTTTGCCATATTAAATTTCACTTAAATGTTCACTTAAACACAATTAATTAATTAGAAACAATACGAGTTCACAAACTTAGGTTATTCGTACAACGATCAAATACTTGACAGCTACTTGCACGAACCACGAACAATTTGTAGTTGAAATGAGTACACATGAGCCATCTGTTTTTAAAAATTGACACTACTCGAGAAGAAAACAGTTCAACGCGCATTTGTTCGAAGATAACTCCCCATGCGGCCCATACTCCATTTACCATTTTGACAGTTCATAGTTGCATTGTAATATTACTTTTAATTTTGTTTTTGTAATATTGACCAAGTACAGAACCGAAGATAAAGTGGATTATTGATAATGAAAGTCATTCACAATACAATACATATTAATAGGTTGTCAAATATCTTCCTTCCGCCTTTTTGTATTATAAACCAAGAGCAAAAAAGCGGATATTTGACAACCTAATATTACATTTTTACTTCTTATTTTATCAAATTGGGCCGGCCGTGGTCCCGTGGTAAGAACGTGGGCTAGCAAATCCTAGTCCCGGGTTCGAATCCAACCTCGGTCGGTTCGGTATCAAAGCAGCTTGATACCAAATTTTCACTTGAAATCATAGATTTCAAATATGATTTCAAGTGAAAATGGCCTTTCGTGGGCATAGCTGTAGTGGCAACATGCCACTTGGAAGTAAAAAGTCATCACTATTACAACAATTGTAATAATTCAGCACATAGAGATGGGACAACTGTTTGGGTTGCCATCTATAATAATTGTAAGATAATTGATCACAACAGCTCATAGAACTCATAAGTTCTGATCGCTGTTAAAGAATTTAACAAAGAAAAAAATTTTATCAAAGTAGTTATATAATCAGCGGCGGTACAGTGAGGTGGAAGGGTATTAACTAGGGTTTGTCGGTTTTCAAAAACCGGTTTTAAAAACCGGTTTTTTGACGAAATTTATGAAATTCGAAAACCGGTTTTTTAGTAAAAAAAGCCGGTTTTTACGTATAAATGGAAAATGACAAATATAGCCTAATATAAAATGTGATGCAGCGTTTTGATTCTTGGAATTATATCGTTTCAATAGCGTTTGGAATCTTATCAGTCTGCTATGGTTCCCAGAAAGGTTTTGTTATCTTTTGTCGAATGTATATATTAATTCTAATGTTTATACGAGTGTTTATATTAATTCAGATCAATGGACTTCTTGTTTCTTAATACTATTAACACTTACGGGACGGCACCGATTTCAAAACAATCTACTGTACCAGCTGTAAACTTGATTTCAATGTGTATGTTATGCAATTTGTTTGATAAAAATTTGTGGTCATTGAAGGACATACATTTATAATAAAAATTTATTTTTGATCATTTTATAAAGAATGGTGACGTTCAAAACAATTTCCAAAATGCATAGCTGGATGATTTTGATATGTTTTACAATAAAATGTTGTTCGCCGCCTTCCTCCTAGTGTTTTTCTGTCAAAACAGACAATACAATCCCTTTTTCTTTCTCTCGCATTTAGAATATGCCACTGATTAGTAGGTATATTTGTTCATTTTTGTGCTGCCATAATAGTTTTTTTTTTATTATATTGTCTAATAAGTCATTTGTAAAATATAAACTAAAATAATGTATTGGATGTCTTATATTGCTTGGTATTTGTAGTCGGGGTATTTATTGATGTATGTTAAACTCGATTATTGAAGGAAAATCATCTGTATGAATGTCTATTTAAAACTCATCTTCACTACTGTTTAATTCACAAAATTTACCAGTCGTTTTGCCATATTTCAAAGCGCTCGGTTGTTTTAAATATAAAAAAAAGGCTATGTAGCAAAGAAAAAAGCTGAAAATACTACTAAAATAACTTAAAATTAGTTTCAACATACAACACTGTTCATCACTGCTATATGTAATTTATTCAATTTTTCGATGCAAACTTAGTCATTGTTTATAAAATAGCTGTGCCTCACCAAGTATGTTTGTTCACTCAGGTGGACAGCCGTCCCCAAAGTGTTAAAATGCCATGGGACTTTGATCCAAGAGGGTCTCGAAAGAGCTCCCTAACCTAGAGGAAAACCCCCGATCCAGACGTTAATTTTAATCGATTATTTTCCTTCATTGCTATTGAATTCAGAGATTTTTTTACAATTACTCTAGTCTAGAAAGAAGGCTTATGGCCAGTAGTAATGTGTAATTGATTATGCTGAAAAATCTTAAAGTTTATTAAAATTAAATTGAGTACAACTTGACTAGTTAAATTTAAGTTGTTTTTTATGCAACTTTTTTGGCGATATATACCATGGTCTTGTGGAACTTACTGTAATATTACGGGCTTACGCAAGTAGTTTAGTTTTAAGGAATCATCAAAGTTTCAGAAAATGAGTAATTTTTTGACCTAAAATTAAAATTAGACGATTATTCCTTCATTGCTATTGAATTCAAAGATTTTTTTACAACTATTCTCGTGTAGAAAAAAGGCTTATGACCAGTAGTGGGACATATAATACTGTATATAATCATACAATAAGTTATCACAATATTATTTTAGCGCTAAAATTAAAATTGGCCGTTAAATAGACTAAAAAAATTACATATTTTAAAAAGATTGATTCTCTATGTTTTCTGATACGATTATATATTCAGTTACAATTAGACAC